AGGTATTTTTTTCTTAATTTTTTAAAAATATGATTGATAGATACTTTTCTTATAAAATTTATCTTTAATCAATAATTTACTAGTTATAGTAGGAAAAATTTAGTTTTTCTTTATTAAAAGTCTTATGATCGAAGAAATAGACGTTAAAAAAGTTTTTCTTTTATAGAATTTGAAGTGACTTAATTCTAAATTACTTAAAATCCAACATCACTTCTCAGTGTTGGGGATTAATATAAAAAATAAAATTTACCTTTAATTAAAAAAATGTAAGAAGAAAAAGTGTTTTATAAAATGGATTGTAAATTAAAAAGTGTAATTTAATTTCTGAATTTATTAAAATATTTTTAATGAATCTTTTTATATTATTTTATTAATAATAATTTAGTAATTTTAATATCTAAATTACACTTTTAATGTATATATTAACATATTAAACATAAATCTTAGGGGAAAATGAAAATGAAAAACGAAACGTTACCGTTTACCGACAGCTCTAAGAAGACGGAGCGGACCACTTGCATCAGTTTCCAAATTCATTCGTCAAAGCATACAAAACCAACGACTCTCAATCAAAACCCATTAACGCGTTTGATGCTGACATTCAAAAGCCACCAAAATTTAACCTTCCTTTTTAGAATCCAAACCCAACCCTTTTATTTTCTTCCAATTTTAATTACCATTCGATCATAAAAGTGGAAACTTGATCGGAAAATCAGTAGAAATTCCCATTGACTGAGTACCGCCGGCGACAGCCGTCTCCACATTCACATATACGTGTACTTGTATACTCACACGCGTTGAATAGTCAATCCCTGAAAAGTAGAACAAACCCACAATTTCCTGGTAATTAAGTTCTTTCCTTTTTTTCTGCTTCACCCCATTTAATTTCTTACTTCCTCGTGATTGCGTATCTCTTTGTCTGTGCTGTAATCCTCTGTTTCCTGGAGTGTGATTATTTTTCTGGGGTCAAGTTACCTTTTTATGTTTTCGGGGACCAATATTTATGTTACTTGTGGCATACTCTTATTTGAGAATTGGGTGACTTTGAATTCTTCAAAAGGATTAGGAGATTAGTTCATTTTCATTGAAAATCAATGAATTTGGATGTTTGGTGAATTGGGTACAGAGTGAATTTCTGGTTTTTCAATTCTCTCTCTCTCTTTTCATTTTTTTTATTTTTTATTTTTATTTTTTATCAAGATTAAAACTTGAAGTCCTGGGGGAAGTTTGGAATGAGTTTTTAGTGGTGAATTTAGCCTTTGAAGGAGGGTTTTGGTTGTTTGCGCTTGTAGCTGTACATAGAGCGACATGGGTTGTATAGGCTCTAAGGATCAGAATACTGTTCCAGAGTATAGCCATGGCGGCTCCAAAGAGAAGCTGACGCGAAAGGATTCAGTAGAGAAGCTTGTTTCGCGAGGGAATTCAGCAAGAAGAGGGGAGGTTGTTCGATCAAGTAATAGATTTGATGGTGGTAACATCAAGGTTATGTTGGTTGACAAGAAAGAGAGTGGTTCGTGCCGGTTCTATGATAATCATCAGGTTGAGAAGAAGAGTCTAGATAAGTTTGAGGTGATTGATAAAAGGGTGCAGAAGGGTGAAGTGACTGTTGTTGCTCATCCTGGTTTAGGGAGGCTTCCAAAGAGCACAGAAGGAGAGCTGGTTGTGGCAGGGTGGCCTTCTTGGCTTGCTGCAGTGGCAGGAGAAGCCATCAAAGGATGGATACCACGGCAAGCCAGTTCCTTTGAGAAGTTGGATAAAGTAAGCTCTTATGCCTTTTACCACTTGATGGCTAATTTAGATCCAATCTTTCTGTGCTAAAAAAAAAGTTCCATTTTTGAAAACTTGATCAACACTAATTATGTCAGATTTTCAATGCATGGCTTTTTTTTTTTTTTTTGCCTTTATGGTTAGATTTCCAGTGCCAAGCGAAGCACCAACCTCAAATGTGGAGGAATGAGTTTATTCAGTGAATTACTCTATAAATTTGTTCATTTCTTTTTGATTGATTGAATGCTGAAACTGAGATTATCTGAATCCTTTTAATTCAATCTTCCTATATTAAACAACTTGTCTAATATTTGTTTTTTGATTTCTAATGAAATGAAACTCAAAAGTAGAAGTATACAATAAGAAAATTCTTTAAATTCTGTGTAATTAGTTTCGGATATATATGTTGACAATTTTCCACAACTGGATAATGTATAATTTGGAACGTTACACTTGTGCAGAGTGATCAGTTCTAATGAACAAAAATTCTGTTTCAGTTAGTCTGTTACCCTTTTGTTGGGCAACCAAATGTAACATTTTTAAGTCATGTATTTGATTGAAGTAGTTGTCATGATTGGAAGTGATCCAATCAAAAAGATGTTCATTTTATCGTCTGAGCTGTATGATTTGCCTTTTACATGGAGATTCCCATTTCCTATCTCTTGGTTTCTGCGTGACATTACTTTTTTCTTGCAGATTGGTCAAGGAACTTATAGCAGTGTTTATAAGGCACGTGATATCATTCATAATAAACTTGTTGCTCTAAAAAAAGTACGATTTGATAGTCATGATCTGGAGAGTGTGAAGTTTATGGCAAGGGAGATTATTCTTTTACGAAGGCTTGACCATCCAAATGTAATTAAATTGGATGGCTTGATCACATCACCGATGTCATGCAGCATGTATCTTGTTTTTGAATATATGGAACATGATCTTGTGGGACTTGCATCACTCCCTGGTATCAAGTTTTCTGAGCCTCAGGTAATCTAGGGTAGTTTTTATGGTTCTCTTATTCTGCTGTTCTGTTTAAAGTTTCTTTAAATGCAGAGTATCTGGGTGCAACATGGGTGTAGCAGTCACCTTTGCAATTTATTATTAATTGTGCTCATGGACCACAATTCCTGAAATTATATATATTTTTTTCCTTTTTGAACTAGATTAAATGTTACATGAAGCAACTTTTGAGTGGCCTTGATCATTGTCACAGTCATGGTGTCCTTCATCGTGACATAAAGGGTTCAAATCTTCTCATAGACAGTAATGGGATCTTGAAGATTGCAGATTTTGGATTAGCAAGTTCCTTTGACCCTTTTGATAGTGTTCCAATGACAAGCCGTGTAGTCACTCTTTGGTATCGACCACCGGAACTGCTGCTGGGAGCATCTCATTATGGAGTTGCGGTGGATTTATGGAGTAGTGGTTGCATTCTTGGGGAATTATATGCTGGCAAGCCTATTTTACCTGGGAAAACAGAGGTATAATGTTTAGAGTCTATTTTCTGTCTGAGTGGTGGATTTATTTCCTTTTCCTACCTCCTAATGAGTTTTTGCTGAGAAAAATAATAACTGAATGTAGAATACAAGTAAATTCCTAGTTCTATCAGATTATTATAAAAATAAAAGAAAAAAAAAGGGTATTAGATGAAATGAAAGATGATTAGATTAAATATTGGTTTTTTAGTTTTGGCCTGATGCACCTACTTAATTTTGAGTTTGTGTGCTTATGCAGGCTGAATGTTTCTTATTTGGACATTGTATCAAATTATATGCTTCCACACATCCACACACACCCTCTATTCTTTTGTCTTACTTTTCCTCAACTAAGCATTCTAGAAGTGTATTATCCTTTTCTCTTACAACTGGCACATAATCAATTATTTGTGTATTGTAGGTTGAGCAATTACATAAGATTTTTAAGCTATGTGGTTCACCATCTGAGGAATATTGGAGAAAATCAAAACTACCTCATTCAACAGTTTTCAAACCTGTACAACCATACAGACGATGCGTTGCTGAAACATTTAAAGACTTTCCTTCTTGTGCTATAGATCTTATGGATACCTTGCTCTCCATAGATCCTGTTCATCGAGGAACAGCAGCTTTTGCTCTGAAGAGTGAGGTATGATGTTTTTTCACCTTATTCCACTATGTTACTATTTCTTTCTTAGTTAGAACTGCAATACCATATAATATTGGCATTTCTTTTTGTTATTTATTTTGTAACTAAATCGTTACATACAGGAAGAATAATCCATATTCTTATTGTTTATAACTGCTGCTTAGCTATCGTTTCTGTTAATTTCACATGAGTAAGGCAAGTTATTCTTGTTTCGGTTCTATCTTTTTTCATTTTTCACTAATAGCCAGAATTTTCCTGTTTGCCTTGGTTGGCAGTTCTTTACAACAGAACCTCTTGCTTGCGATCCATCTAGTTTACCCAAATATCCTCCCAGCAAAGAAATTGATGCTAAGTTGCGGGATGAAGAAGCTAGAAGGTGTGTGTTGGGAACTTTGTTCTTGTCTCTTTACGCTATTTGGCCTTTATAGTATTTGGTTTTGTGGAATACCTCTTTATTCCCATAGGTTCATAATGGCACCTATTACTGTTTCATTCTCATAATTTAAGCCAAGGAGCAACTTGTTTACTCTCAATATTGTTTTTGATAATCATAAGGTTAACCTCTGTAAATTCCATAGGCAAAGAGCAGCTGGAAGCAAGGGCCAAAGAATCGACGTGGAAAAGAGAGGATCAAAAGATTCAACAGAAATTCTGAGATCTAATGCAAATCCTGAATTAACCACATCAATGCAGGTAATTCAAAACAAGGTTAAGATGGTTCTGCACTTCATACTTGTGCTGGTAAAATAGTCTCTGCATATTGGTCTTTCTTCAAATTTGATATTTTTTTTAATTGCATAACTAATTTTTGAGATGGAACCTCCCTCACCCTGAGGTTTCTTAGGTTTTTTTAATGCTAATTTCTTTGGAACTTAGATCTTGACCTGCAGTCTTCATTTGTATCCATTGTGTGAGCTTCCATTTAGATTTGCAAATTGCAAGTATTATATGGCAATTTCATGATAAAAGGAACAAGGCAATTTTTGCAGTGGCATTTCTTTTCTCAGTTAAATAGATGTGTTCTCTATGCTCTAGACAATTTCCATCTTGAATGAAGATGACCAGATCTCACTTATCTACCTGTATGTTTGAGGTGGCTGATTATTCAACTTGATCATATGTGGTGCTGGAAGAGTGACGGATGAAATTCAGTTTAGGAAAACACATCCTTGATGTTTCTTTTACTGCAATATATGGAAGTGGCTAATTGTTACTTTGTCTTCGATCATGTTCCTGTTAGAGCTGGCATGCATTTATATGATCTATTCCACTATCTGCTTTTCACTAATATTCTTGTACTTGTACTCTCATTTTCTGGTTTTTATTATATGGTAATATATTTTTCTCTAATTACAGAGAAGACAGCAATATCCCAATTTAAAGGGCAGGACTGAGACATTCAAATCTGCTGCTGCTTCTGGTTTTCTGGTTGGACAATCACAAGCTGTAAGAGATGGGAGTAGAGATTTTTTGGAATATAAGGGAAAGAATGTTTCATATTCTGGCCCATTGGTCAATGGGGCAGGTTGGGGAAAGTCTGGGAAGGAACTTGATGATCCACATATCTTTCCAGCTCGAGCTAACTTATCTAAATTGTCTGGTTTGGTCGCAACTAGAACTCTGGCTTCAGATGAACAGAAGCAAATGTCTGGTCCTTTACCTCCTGAAGTATCAAACCAGGTTGGCAGGTCTCAGAAATCATTCATTGAATCAGAGTCTGCAGCAAAGCTAGATCTGAGATCCCGTGCACAGAGGATTGCAGGTTCTCCCCAGATGGGAAGTGGAAGAACCAGCATGAAGGAACCAGTTCTGGTTGGTACTCTTAAATACTTTTCTGGTCCAACTTTTTTTATTTCAATGCAGAGAGTTTTAACTCCTGGTTATCTAAAACTAGCATTCCTTTGAATCTTTTGTCCGGCAGCCTGGTGGTTCACGGGGAAGCAAGATTTTTGTCTCTGGTCCATTGCTTGCACAATCAGAGAATGTTGACCAGATGCTCAAAGAGCATGATCGCAAGATTCAAGAATTTGCTCGGCGAGCAAGACTTGACAGGAACAAGCCCGGAAAAGTGCAAACTCAAGGGAAACTGTTAGTGTCTGCTCGCGGAGCTGGATAGACACTAATAAGCGGTATGCAGGTATCTCCTCTCTAGTGGCAGAGCTGGAAAAATCAGCCAAGTGATGCCCAGGGAGCTAAATTAGTTGAACATACTTATGTACAGTTAGTGCAGCTTATTGTTCTTCATTTGATAAAAAGTATAGAGGTGGGAAGTATAGGATTTGATTCTTTCAGTTCAGTAAGCAGTGGGCGACTACTTTGGTAAATATTGCCACATCGATAACAGAATCGAAAGAAATTAGAAAGTGATACAAATTTTGAGAATATTTCTACGTTATCTTAATAATTCTATATAATATAGTATTTCTTTTTTAGGGTAAGATTCTATAATTTGAGAATTTCAAGTCATGTCGGGATTTTGTCCAGATTAAAAGAATGGCAAAACTGGCTGTCCTAACTCCGTTCTCTTTTCTTATTATTATTTATTTACTTTAATTAATTATCTTATTTAAAAAGGTCTTACTTTATTTTTGTCCTTTTTTAATGTTAATATAAGTAAATATATAAGTTATCTCTAAATTTTTAATTTTGGAAAAAATAAAAAAATGATAGTTATTTTAAGATAGAAGGAATAATTAATGATAGTTGATTGCTATAACAGTTTGGATTTTTTGATTAACGTAATTGTTTGGTTATATGATGATTAGCAATTTGTATTTGATGTTAAATGATTAATAAGGATATATTTAAAATTATTTATTTATTTTTTGTTTTTATATTTTCTATTGTTAAAATTATTAATTTTATAAAAATAAATAAATAAAATTAAATACACAAAAAGTGTGAATCACACACTCATTTATATTTTTATACCAAGAAAAATATTATTTTAAATAAAGGCAAAACAAACTTTTAATTATTTTGTTTAATTAGTAAAATTTGTTTATTAAACTAATATAATTTTTTACAATAAGTTAAAAAAATTTATAATAGTAGCCTAATGTTATTGAAGAAAAAAAAAGTTGAATATAGTTAAATACTTGGTAATTACAAATGGTGCTAAAAAATAGAAAATTAAAATTGATAAATTTATCAACAAAATTAAAAAATTTCAATTTATTAATGGTTTAGATTTTGATCTCTCTCTATTAATTTAAAATTGTTAATTTTTTTTATCAAATATCTAATTTATAATAATTTAAAAATAAATAAATTTATTAAACTCTTATATTATAATCATCTGAACAAAATTGTTATGTGTTATTCCTAAACCACTATACCAAGCGGTCCTTTGTTTAGATTAGGAGTTCAAATGCAACCTATGCAATTGATAACTAATGGCATATTACTACATTTAACAATTCAAAATTATTGTTATTTACAATATAATTTATATATTCTTGTGCATCTGTTTCAAACCTTTGTAGTTTGTACTAAATATACTCACATGTGGGTTTCTTCTAGTTCCGCTCTCCCATTTGACCTATCCCCACGTTTTAGTAGGGGTGGACACGGTTTACTTTTGGTTATAACCAAAAGCAAATTATCAGTTAACCAAATTTTTTATTATGTATTTTTAAAAATAATTTGCCAAACGAAAAATACCGGCTTTATCAATTTCTGATAATTTTATAAAGATAACCATTGGTATAGTTTTAATCAAAAAAATATTCCTAAAATTTTTATGATTTTTATAATATTTTAAAATTTTTATTCTATTAATTTAAATCATTAAAAAATAAAAATTAATTAAATAAAGAAATAATTTGGTGAAAAGTGATGAGAAAATCTAAAAATTATCTAAAAACTATTAAAAAAATAAGTTTGCTATTTTACAATCTAAGTTATAAAACTAAGATTTTTAAATGAAAAATAATTCATAATATCAGAAACTTCATCCCATCCCTCGTCTAAAGGTTAATTTTTTATAATTTAAATTGCAAAATAATTTTTTTAAAGAATTTAATTAAGTTTTGGGCCTTTTTTTTTTTTTGGTTATACTTGACCTACTTTGACTTTTTGGTTTTACCTAACAACTAAAAACCAAATCAATTGAAATTGGTTGAATTTGGGTTTCAGTCAAAAATTCGAAAACCAATTAAATCCAACTAGTCAGTTATAATTTTTGTAGAATTTTGTTAATTTTTCACGCGTGGTCAATTCTACCCATCCCTACATTTTAGATTTTACAACATAGTACCAACAAAAAAAGGATTTTACACCAATTCGGAATCAAATGACAGAGTACTATTCTACTTCTATCGTTAGATTACTAGGGTTATTTTTGTTTGTTTAAATACTTGAATTTGTCCCTAAACTTTTATTTTCAAACTAAATCTATCCTTAAACTGTAAAAAGTATCAAAAACACCCTTATATTTCAATTTTTGGTACCAATTTAATCCTTCCATCGACGAAAGTGACGGTTAACAAGTTAAGTGCTAGAAAACACAATCCTTTTTTTGAAAAACTACTGACGTGTAAAATGAAACACGCTTCTTTTGCTACGATGGCATTTCTTTTTTCTTTTTCACATTAAATTCAGCCCTTTCATTTGAGACCCACATTAATATTTCTATTTTTCTCTTCGTTTTAAAACCCCCCAGTTGGAGGGACCCTCGTCTTCTTCAATCTTTGTTATTCATCCATCTTTTTCACATAATGAAAAACCAAACTCTACCCTTATTCCAAAAATTAAATCTCAATTAATGCAAAGAAATCCCAAATTTCTTGATAAATCTCTAAAATCTCTCTTTTATATTGATTTCTTACTCTTTTGCAGTGTTTTGAAACCTAGACCAGACCAATCAGTCCGACCGATCCAACCGCCACCTGGTGACAAAAATGGACTAAGTTGAAACCCAGGCCCATTTGGACGGCCCAACCATCCAAACCTGACAAGGTCATTCAAATCGTCCAGCCTGGTAAACCTGGTAAACTCACCGGGTGAATTGATCCAGGTTAGAGGCACGCACTCTGCAACTTTTTTTTTTTCTGTTTCCCACTGTTGGGGTTTCATAATTTCATTGACACTTTCATTCTCCAAAAAAACAAAATCGGAAAATCCATTCTCTAGTTGTCATTATCCATCGATTCTCCTTCTTTGCTTCTCCACTCTCTAGTCTCCATTCTTCAGTCTCCATCATTTTTTTGGCGAAGAAGAAACCACAAGGTAGTAGATCGGGCAACAGATCGGTGTTCATCATCTCTCCAAATCGAGTAGCAAATCGGTATCCAACAGGCAGCAGTAGATCGATACCCAACAGCCAACAGCAAGCAGCAGTAGTAAGCAGTAGATCGGCGTTCACCCACCACCACCGGCACTCACCGTCCATCCGAGGTTGTTATCGCAAATACTATTTTCCTTCCTCCTCAATAGTTAATCACGCTTCCGTTTCTTTTATCTACCGGTAAGCTCACTGTCATTGGTTTTCAATTTCTCAGCAATTTGTTGCAACATTTTCAGAAATCCTTATCTTATATAGTTGGAGTTGGACAATGCTTCTAAAATCTCTTCCTTCATTGAAATAGAAATCGATTTTTTTTTAACCTCTAATTGCTTCAATGAATGTGAAACAGTGTATTTTATGAGATGACAGTTTTTTAAGTTGATTTACATTACTTGAATATATCATATTTCTCTGTCGTGAGATTTATTAATTTTAGGGTTTGTAATTATAGGATACTTTTTTTTATCTATTTATTGAGTTTTTTGATTTATTAATTTTAAGATTTGTAATTGTATGGCACTTTTTTTTTTTATCTATTTATTGAGTTTTTGTACTTGTAGTTGGTACACATTCCAAGGAAAAAGTTTAAAAACAACAGTAAAATTTTTCCCCAAGATTGCAAATTATGGCATTTTTTATTGACTCAGTTGGTCAACCAATTGAATCGATCGACTAACCAAATCAGGAACTAGTGAGTAAACCGGTTTAGCCAATAGTTTGGGTTTCAAATCACTGCTCTTTTGAAAGTAAAGTCTAACACTTCAAGAACGGTCCGTTCTAATCTAGTGACAAGGGCCCTGGGTAAGGACCGTTCGCTTCTTGTGGGTTACGTGTTCAAGTCCCACAAATCCCTCGAATCTCTCGAATCCCTTTTCCCTTCCCCCCCAATTAATACAAGTAAATTGAACATGGTTTTAAAACCCGACCCAACTTGATCCCGTTGAACCGACTCAATTGGACCTGAGCTTACAAATGGGTCAGTTTCATGCATGGACCCGTTTTGAAGGTTAACCCGTTCAAACCAATTTAACACGCTAAACTCGACCCAAATACCTAGCCCATTCCACCTGCTAGGCAGAAACTGCCATCTCCTTTATTAACTTTTTTTTTAATGTGATTTACCTATTTTAACCTATCTTTTTAATGATAGTACATTAAAAAGCTTAAATTTACACTTAAATTAAATTAAAAACCATAATAAGAAGGGATTATTATGTAAAAACAACATGGGAAAAGCAAAATTAGAAAGTAGAAGTAGAACTATTATGTATAGGCGTCCCAGGAGAACCCCAAATGTGGACACACTCATCAAGATATACTCATGTGGATGCTGATACTTGGGTTAATCAAGTGTTTGCATGTGGGACATATTGTCATTAATGGAGATTATAAATAACCCCATCTACCCCCAAGTAAGGTATTAACTCTACTATGTTTCTCTCTCTATAATTAATCTTCTTGAGAGCTTCTCACTCTAAGAGTAGAATATTATTGACTTGAGCATCAAAGTATCTCTCCAAGGGAATAACCTTGGGTATTTCAGGTGTTGAAGCAACTGAATATCTACACAGTAAAGGTTTGTAAAGCTGCCCAAAACAATTGGCGTTGTCTGTGGGAAATTGAATGAGAAAGCCATACTATTCATAAGCCAAAAGCTAACATGGTGCATACATTTACAAGAAACCATCCTCCTCAGGTGGATAGAATGAGCGCTCATGACAACACTCAACTTCTGGAATTTAATTTCAACGAGTTTCGATCGATGCTGGAGAACCTGTTTGTTGGAGGTGCAGAGAAAGAACAGTATGATAGTTTCAATGATGAATGAACACCCACTGGATATGTATCTCAGCCCAGAGAGCAACATCGAACTTTGAGAGAGACTCGGTCCAGATATCCTGCTCATAACACGTCCAGACCTAAAAGGAATATGGAATCCACCTAGACATTTGAATTGGAAGAAAGGGCTAGTATCTTAGAGATGGAAATGGGAAAGATCATTTCTTGTTTAATTCTTGATGACCCTTTGATTCCTTTGTTGAATAAGGGTGGACAACCTGAGAGGAATTTTGTCGTAATTCCTCTACTTTAAGCAATGTGGTAGTACTGACCAAGCCTAGAGGAAGCAGGAAGCTAAACCCTAAGCCTAGCTCATCAAAGCTTAATGAGAAGTTGTTAAAAAAGAATATCAAGCTCGAAAAGCAACTTGAGGGTATACAAAAGTCTATTGACAGGCTGAGAAGTCCTAGGTCGCGTCAACAAGCTCTCAACATGATATGAGAGTTAAGATAACCTATATGATATCTTTTAATTTAAAATAGTCAAGCCTCTTGTAATTTGGATGGTAAAATATCAGTCAATAAATGTAGAGATCTTCTCGCATCATTAGGGTTTTTTTTATTAATTTAATAATTAATATTTTATAATTTAGTATAATTAAAATTGTAAACTATCTTTTAAAATTATAAATTTATTTGGAAAATGAAAATCTATTATATCTTGTATAGTTTAAAGAAAGAAGAAGAATTTTCCTTTAATTTTCTGTTTTAAATTTAGTATAATCAAACTAGAAAAAAAAAAAAGGAAAGGAAAAAATATTATAAAAACATCAAGGTATTGTTTTGAGTGTATTAGATTATATCAAATTACACAATATTTATCACTTGATAAAAAGAGAATCTTATTAATTTTTATTTTATAATCTAATAATATAATCTTGATTATAAAAGAACAAATTCTAATTTTAAATCTAAATTAGAAAACAACATATTTTAAAATGATATTATATCCTCTACTCTCTTTCCGTTTCCCTAAACTAAACAAATGTTTAATAGTAGCTTGGATTGAAAAAAAAATAGGGGGTTAATGTTATAATTTAATTAATTAAAAAATTTTCACTTTTTCTCTTTTTTCTTTCATTCTGCTTAACTTAAAGATACGGTGAAGTAAATATATATATATATATATATTAAAAAAAAAAAAGACTAAACAGTGGTTTAAGGAATATCTGGACGTATATCCAAACTCCGAATGTCTGCTCCATCTGTTGAATTATTGCTCAATGTTGACGTGGCACAGTGCTGTGACTAATCCACAATGCCACGGGAAAAAGAACTTGTATACAATCTAATCATTACCCGCCACGTAAGAGCAAACCAACTTTACATGTCCGTGGCGCCTCGTCCACCTGGGATCAGGTGGGTCCCACGGTGGACCCAAAATCTAGCTATAAATTCGTCATCCATTTTCAGTACCATTCAAGCCAATTTCCTTACTAAAAAAACCTGGCCGCATCAAATCCACGCGCCGGCGGTGGAAGTGATGGAAAGAATTCCGGCGAGCAGACAGAATTCTGACGAAATCGACCGGTTTCTTGACGGAGCGGCTGATTTTTTGGACATGCTTTGGGGGTTTTTGGATGAAAGCAGTGAATCCTCTCAGGAGAATTTGGGGGACTTCAGCAACGACGACAAGGACCAAGACGACGAAAACCTAAGTCCTCGTGAAATTGAGGAAAACAAAATTTTCTGGGATAGTCAAGAAAAGCTTCTTCAGGTGATTTTCACGACTACAGCGCAAAAATTTCAGTTAAAAATATTAAAGTTTTGCTGATCAATATATATATATATATATATATTAAGGTTATATGCTGGGTATTGAATCTGGTTTTCAATTAATTTTTCTGGCGACATTGTTTAGGAGTACTTCTCTTGAATTAAGAATTAGACAAGCTACAAAAGAAGCAATTAAGGAATTGCATTTGGTGGGTGTTCTTTGTGATTGCCGGAGACCGATAGCCGAAGTCCGCCGAAGATGCTTGCAAAGAGAGCTCTCAATTCGTCTTCAGAATGTCGGGTTCAACTGTTTCCTGTGCAAATCCAAATGGAAAAGTTCACCAGAAATCCCATCAGGTACATACGCTACCATTCTCGTTCTTCCTAACATTAGAACCTTAATTATATATAGTATATTCTTCGGTTAGATGTTCAAACTTCTACAATAATTATATAACTATTAGTAATTTTATAATTTTTTATGGAGAGAAACTATCTCAACATTAAAGAGCTCACCAATGCGTCAAAGTGCACGTTACTCTTCTATTTTAGTTTTGCTAATAGTATGGTTTATATTTTCTTGATGGTTTTACAGGGGAACATACAAATTTAGAAATTGTGGAGAAATCGAAGGAGAAGTGAGAGTGGTGATTGAGCTGAATTTCCGAGCGGAATTCGAAATGGCAAGGGCAAGCGAAGAGTACAACCGGTTGATCAGCAAGATGCCGGAGTTATTCGTTGGAAACGCGGAGAAATTGAGAGCCCTGATCAAGATATTGTGCGCGGGAGCCAAGAAATGCATGGAGGATAAGAAGATGCACTTGGCTCCATGGAGAAAGCAGAAGTACATGCAAGCAAAGTGGCTTGGCACGTACGAGAGAACGGTACCGGTGCCGTTGCCGGAGGAGAGGGCTGACCGGTTGCCAAAGGCTAAGATATCTATGTTGACCTTTGATTTAAGGAACAACAATTTGTCTGAACTTCATTCCACCGCCGTGGAGGTTGTGTGATGTGGGGACCGGCGGGATGGATTTTGGGTACGGGTAATAAATTTTGACCAGTGTTTTCACTGTAAAAAATGGACTCGTGTAAAATAGCAAGGTAGGGGAAAAATGAGGGAAGAGCAATAGAGGCAGAACTGAATTAAGTTGTAGGGGTGCGGAGTTTGAATTAGGTACAAGTTTGCATTTCTTCAAGGCTATAGAGTTGTAAAATTACTTTACAGAAGGACAACGATAGGTTCACCTTCATCCTTCTATACGTTCTGTTACACCTTTCATTTTTTGTTACTTTCATTAATTATATCGTTAACTAGCTAGCCTTGTCTCTCTCCTTTCCTTTCTCCTTTTTACTGTTCATAGTTCTCACCAGCTAGATCCATCTTCTTCTTCACTTCCATCCTCATCCTAATCAACCAAACAATTTTCTTATTAATCAAACAACATACCATATTATCAAAATTGTAAAAATTCTAATCAAAATTTATAAAAATTCATTATCTTCTTCCTCTTTCCTTCTCTTGGACAACCCAATCTGGGTTCTTATGGAGAACCCATCCCACATCTGGGTTCTCCATAAGAACCGGATTTGGGTTCTCCTTCAAACAAATCAAAATAAAGGGGGGTGGGGGGGGAAGAGAAGGAAGAAGAGGGAAAGAGAGGAGAGGGAAAGAAGAAGAAAAAGAAAGGAAGAGGAGGAAAAAGAAGGAAAAGGCTGAAAATCAAAGAATGTGAAATTGCAAGTTGGATGGGTTAGATATGTTTGGGTGTTAACGGAATGAAAAGTAACGGAGTGAATGTTTGTTATAAAATGTGTAACGGAGGAGTGTGCACCTAACATTTTCCTCTACAAAATCATATGGCATTAAAGTGTAAGAGGAATTATTGAGTATGTTTATGAGTATACAATTGTAGATACACCATTCCTATTGACTCCTTCTAAGAAATTTTTTTTTTTTAATCATCTACTCATTCTAAAATTTGAATTTAAAAGTTTCAATTAAACTTTTAACAAAGAGGACATCAAACTTTTGACAATTGGATTATACTCAGTGGGCTTTTATTAACACTACAAAGAGCATATTTAAATCATAAGAGGATTTGTTTGAGCTGTTGTGTCGTGGATTTGCGGGTCACATGGTCATTAGATTTTCTCCATTTAAGGGTTAATAACTTGAATTTATATTAGAGGCCCCGAGTTCATTTGGGAATAGGTGGGGAGGGCTTTTAAAAGGAAATAATTATAACAATGTTTAAAATGAATAAAAGAAAACAATAATGCTTTTACTTACAATATTTTTGTATAATATTTTTATATAATGTAATGTAACATTAAATGAATAGTTGTTTATTTTTTAAAAACATCATATGTTTGGTTATATAACAAAAAATAATCTTTCTCTTCCAAACTACTTTTTACCCATTTCAAAATTTAAACTTAAAACCTCTAACACAAGGTTTGAGTTCTTAATTATTATAATGTCCTATAAATGATATGGGTAATTAACCATCGAATATTAATTTATTTATCACATTGGACAAAAAATAGTTAATAAAGTGGAAGTCATGTGAGTTTCCACGTTGACTCTTAGTAATTAATGTGTTAGTTATTGATCATTATGTAAGTATAAATTTTACATAAATTATATGTTTTTTAAATTCTAGTGGATATGAAGATCATCATTTAATAATTTATGTAACATTTTAGAATGTGCGAGGAGTTTTTCTTAGAACATGTACAAATGTGTTGATCTCTTCTATTGTTCTTTTCTTAAAGGAGAATAAAGTTAGAACTTAACATTGTTCTTTCCACTCGAGAGCTTCCTCAAAAGAGAGCTCAACTCTCCTCTCGTTTTTTGGCCTTTTAACATTGGGGAACCAAAATTTGAATTGCTTGAGAGGCTGTCTGGCAGTGCAATTTTAAAATTCATGCCATTGGATCATTTTGATCCAACGGTTGATATTTTTTTTTAAAAAAATTTATAATTCATTTTTTTTTTAATATTTGACATGAGTTAAATAAGATAATGTTGGTACAATTTGTGAGGGGATTTGTAAGGGGAGCTCGTGGGCCCCCCCCATGTGGGGCGCATTTGTTTTTGTTTGGCCTCAGTGGTACGGGACTGACTTGAGGTAGCCTCCTCAGGGATCGAACCCGAGGTCCCGTGGGACTCCTCCCTTAAGAGGATTTCACGGGTGACCCTGGTACCACGAGCTCCCCTTACAGGATTTTGTTTAGATATATATATATATATATATATATTGGAGATGAGATGTTTTATTTGTGGGTTAAATATTTAAAATGTAATTTATATAAAATATTAATTATGATGATGTGAAATTAAACTGAGCTTTTTTACTCTTCCCCATTTTACATGCCACTCTTAATATTGTGTGCCAAAATTTTCTTTCCTGCCTTAAATTTCTCATGGGCCCAAAGCACGCATCGATGGGTTTCTTTTTTAAGACGAATATATGGGCCGTGACATCACAAGAAGTTAACATATATCCTAGGCCCAATTAAAAGAGATTATCCAAACAAATTTTTCTTGCAAGATTTTGAGAACTTTACTACTTAATGTATGTTGATTAAAAAACGAAAAATCCGTTGCGGGTACCATCAGACCCTTAAAAGTTCTTAGAAACGTCTTCATAATAAAGAACTCAGTGAGGCCAGTCTGGTTTGTTGTGAAATTTAATCATAGTTTATATGTGCATAGAGATACTAACGACCTCTTAGTCTGAGTAAAAGGAATTCAGTTTCTCTTAAACAAAATTTCAAGTTTAAGTCTTGTAAATAAAAAATCAGATGTTGGGAGAGTTTCTCCTCTTATGGGGTCCGATGTGGTTCGATTCCAAATTAGTTGGATCTAATGTGATTACCAAATATCAAGAGATTAATACAAAAAAGAAGTGCATGGAAGCACCAATTAATGTACTGCTTATATTCTATTTTAATAAAATTCATTTTATAGATTAAAAAAAATCCATATTGAAGGTCTAAAGTTTTTTTTTTTTTTTTTGAACGGTGTACATTGTGGGCGTGGGGGTTCGAACCCCAGCCTAAGGACTAGAAGGATGCACTTTTCAAGTAGGGTTAAAGCCATCAGATTACTAGGCTCAAGTGTGACGGTCTAAAGTTTAAATTATGAGATTGATAAGAAAATATTTGAAAAAATGAGAGTTATCCTTAATTATATAACATATTATCTGGTATACTAAAAGGATAAGCACTTAAAAGATTTACTTTTCTTTCACTTAAGAGATCCAGTTTAGTTTAATTGGTAAATCTATAAATGGGAAATCTTAATTTTGGTTCAAGGTAAGAAGTTTCATAGCTAAACGACCGACTTAGTTGTTTCTATGTAAAAAAAAGTGTGAAGAGTGTTGTTTCTTGAACATTTTTCTTTATCTTTGTATCTTGTCATTACTGTGCTTCAATCATAAAATTAAATAAAAATAATAATTAGTAAACTTATTAAAAAATATTAATGAAAAAATATTATCGAAATAGACATGAAATGTTTATTTATTTTGAGGTAATTTATGTTTCTGTGAAGAGTAAATCTATTGATGCAACAAACATGTTGCCTTAATATGCTTTAACTTTATAATAATACTCTATAAATTTATATTACTAATAAAATGATCTAACTCTCTATTTTACTTCAAAATTTTAGAAGATAGAGTAAAGTATGAAACCAAAAGAATGTGGAGGAATTTACCCAAATTTATTTATAGGATTTATAATCATATAACTTTTATTTATAAGTTAATGATAAGAATAAATTAAAGAATTATTATAAAATAATATGTCGTTAAGTAAGATAATTAATCTATAATAATTAGTTTGATCAAGTTTTTATAAAATAATAAATTCAATTTATAAATTATATTATTTTATCTTTTTATTTAAATGTTTAAGTTAAAAAAAAAAAAGGCCTTTTTTATTTTTTAATCAATCAAGCACGATATATAACTCAAAAAAGAAAAATTAGAGAAAACCCACCGTTTACGGGGGGGTAAGTCAGCCTGAGCCCGTAACCTTGAGGTTGTGATTTTCAGCATCGAAGTCTTTGACACTAGACCGGGAGCCTCATTGGCGATGAAAAGAAAGACTTGGACTTTGATTTTACCAAGACTTTAAGGCCTCCCCTTTCCTAAGGAAAGATTTGGATGACTTCTTTCCGTATCCATACGTAGATGAACAAAGAAATTTCGGCCTGTAAAGTTGCCTAGTCTTCTTACTTATTCGTTTGTTTGTTTTTGTAAGTAGTTGAACTTGAACATGAGGCTTTCCTTTTTGGCAGGATAACTGATTATGTGGTAGAGACAATGCTTGAGACATATGCAGATTAAATGCTTGAGACAGATGCAGATTAGCCGCATGTTTCCGGCCCAAATTTTTACCATCGAGAATCTCCAACTTTGCCTGTTGCTTGTATTACTGCTGGCACAATATTCACCAATGTTATTA